CTCATGCTCTTATGCTGCATAGAGGGGCATCTGAAGTTAAAAGTGGCATTTGACAGAATGAAGCCAGAGAGGTGTGGCAGCACTCAGTCAGCCACAGTTTCCAAATACGGCACTGGCACATCTTGTTTACAAATAAACAGATAGGTAGACTCTGTGCATTCCAGAAAGATAATGGCTCCAGGAGAAGAACAAGGGTAAAAAGAATCCTGGTGAAAAATAAGAAAGGAGAGTGTATCTTCAAGCCTCCTATATCAAACTCCACCCACCCAGGGCTCGGAGACCATTGCGCAAGAGGAGGCAGGAAGATTGTAAGAGCCAAGGAAGTAGTGCATGACCATACGGACACAGACAGGCTCCTGAGACCTTGCTAATATGAATCTACATCAATGGCGTCAGCGTGCACAAGACCCATGGAAACTCAAGCAGACAAAAACCCAGCATAGAACTGGGGAAATGGGCAGCAGGCCCCAATCTTAATCAAAGAACTATTGGCAGCTGATTACTGCTGGGTGAGGGAAAGTTGATCTTTTTTAAGGGAGAGACTCTAGATAAGCTGACTAGACCACAGTGGATGAACTTGCACTGAGGGACATGTGGGTACATTAACTTGGCTCAATAGGCCTCACATAAATAACAGAACATATGAACTCGGTGGGGAGCTATGAGAGGATGAGGTTGGGAGAGGGGATATAAAGATGATTAAGATGTTTTCTATGAAATACACAAAATTCAATTAAAATGTTTAAAAATACATTACCATCCAGTCATGATGAACAGCTTCCCTAGAAGACATTTCAAGCCTGTGACTTTTGAATGTAGTTGTGTTTTTAAAAATATTTTTATTGATTTGAGATTTTGATACAATGTATTTTTATCATATTCAGACCCCTGCCTTTTACACTCCCACATCGCTACCCCCACTTCAGATCCTCTATTATTTTCTTTTTAAAAAGTCTTATTAAGTCTAATCTGTGTTTCTCAAGTGCTCTTGGGTGTCAGTCCATCCCTTGGAGTCTGGTCAACCCACCAGGAATCACACCAGTAAGGAAAGCTAACGCTCCCTTTCTACCATTTATCAGTTACCAGTAGATCCTCATCTAAAGCTGGGGCTTCCTGCCCACCTCACCAGTCCATGCTAGGCCCGTCTGGCTTGGGTTTGCACAGGTCTCACAATGCTGTCATAAGTGCTGTGGGTTCATGTGTACATGAATCTTGTAGTGTTCAGAACACAGTTTGCTCGTATTCATCTACTACCTCTGGCTCTTAAACCTTTCTGTCCCCTCTTCAGTAGTGATCTCCCTAAGGGTATAATATATACCCCATTTAGGGCTCAGCACTCTGCAGTCTCTTATTTTGTGCATGTTGACCATTTGTGGGTCTCTGTGCTGATGGCCATCAGCTGCAAGACCATTTTCTGGTGAGAGCTGAGAGATGCACTGATCTATGGGGATAACAAGAAGTCATTTTGAGTCCGTTTAATAGGACATCTATTTAGCAGAATGATAGTACTGGGCTCTCCCCTGTCACCTGTGACCTATTCAACCACAGTTTCTTTGCCCTGACAATATATTATTCATCTGTTAAGAAAACTGAAATTATGAAATTCACAGGTAAATGGATGGAACTGAAAACATCCTAAGTGAGGTAACCCAGACCCAGAAAGACAAGCATCACATGTTCTCTCTCATGAGTGGATGCCAGCTTTGAATCTTTAGCTAGGTGTGCTCCAATTGGAAATCCATAGAAATAAGGGAACTAATAAGGAGCTGGGAGGGGTCGTGGGAGGGGAGAGAGAAGGCAGAGGCAGAACTGTAATAATGGTTGGGTGGGTTTAATGGTGAGGAGAATGGAGGGCAGGGCTGAAGAGGGAGCAAGCAGAGGGGTAACTAGCACTAAAGGCTGTTTGACAGAGTCATGTGGCAACCTACTAGAGAAGCTTCTTTCAATATATACACATACAATATAAAAATAGTTCAAAAGTAGTTACCTATAACAGGGGTTCGGTTGCCTTAACAGACTAACAAATAAAAAGCCCAATGCCAGGAATGGAGTCCCTCTACTGGAGTTGTTAACCACAGGGATCCCGTAGGTCCTCAAGCAATTTGGGCTATTGCCATTGCACTTGACCCACAAGAACTTGACAGTAAGAGCCTACTGCTGATCACACTACATACCTGAGTTACAAACAAACAAGGAGAAACAGGCTGGTACTGACCTTGAAGGTATGTCTCTATTGGCTAGCTTTCATATACTAGAAAGTGCTATGCATGTTACTGGCAGAGAATGGTAATCATCAACTCCTACACCCAGATCTCAAACCTCTACCCAGTATCTCACATCTAAGCCCAGAATCTCATAGTGAGACCAATATATCACAGATGTACCGAGGAGTTTACATCCACACTCAGCATCTCACACTTTCATCATGGATATCATATCCGTGTCTAGGTGCTCACACCCTTACCCAGGATCTCACAGCTACACCCAAGACTGCACACCTGGATCAGAATCTCACCCTGCACCCAGGATCTTGCACTATACCAGGACCTCAGACCTGTACCCAGGAACTCATAATGCACCTGAAGGTGGTCATTGAACTGGGGACTTCACACCTGCTACAGAAACTCACCCCTGCACCCAGGACCTCACACAAGCACCCAGAAACTCACCCCTGTACCCAGGACCTCACAGTTGTACCTAGGAGCTCAGCTTGCACTAAAGAGCTCAGACCTGTGCCCAAGAGATCCCCTGTGCACCCATGAGTTCATGCCTTCCCTCGGTATGTCATACATGCACATAGGAGCTCCCTCCCACACTCAGGAGGTCACCCCTGTGCCCAGGTGTTCACATCTGTACCTGGAGCTTACAGTCACACCCAAATCTCACCCCTACACCTAAGATCTCATAATTGCACCCAGGAGCTCATGTCTTCACCCAGAATTCACACCCAAAATCTCACATCTGACTCCCAGGAGTTCAGTACCCAAGATCTCTCTCATCATATCCAAGTTCTCTTGTGTGCACCCAGAAGCTGACATCTGTACCAATTACAAACACAATGAAAAAGAAATCAGGGAAACGATCCCTTTCATAACGGCTACAAAAAAACACCTGGAATAAAATTAACCAAGGAGGCAAAAGATCTCTACATTGAAAACTTTAAGACACTGAAGAAAAAAATTGAGGAAGACTCTAGAAAATGGTAAGACCTCTTATGATCATGGATTGGAAAAATTAATCTTGTGAACATGGCTGTCCTACCAAAAGATATCTTCAGGGATCACATGGGCTCTGGTGAATAATAGTTTAAGGACAATGTGGTGGGCGTGCATCAATATGGTGAGTGTCCGTGCTGGGTGGTGGCTCTTGGAGGTGTCCCTGGCCTGCCAGAGTCCTTCTAGTACTTCCCTGGTCTTCTGCAATCCTAAGGAGTTTTTCACAGCTGGGGGAGTCCTGAAAGAAGTGGCTTTAACATGGGTGAGACTGGCTAGCATCTGATGCAGCTGGTGCTGTGACTGCCTCACACTAGTGGTGCATGAGTTTAGAATGAAGGAGCACAGGACAGAGTCCCTGCAGATAATCACAGAGCTCTGTCCCTAGGCTCTTCCAGGGAAGATGGACCTCAGTCCAGGCACAGGCAGATTTGTACAGCAATACCAGGGTCACTGAGGCATGCAGAGGCAACAGGTACCCGAGCAGCTTTCCCAGCTGCTCCTCAGGTGCCACACAGTCCCCATCCCACCTCAGACCTGGCAGCGAGGCCAGTGAAATTTGAAATAGCATTGTTTGGAGACCCAGCCACAGCCATGGGCTGAGAACCTGTGGTAGGAGCAGATGCAGCTGTCCTGCGGTGAGTGATCTCCAGAATCATAGGGGCTCCTCCTTGGGAGGGCAACATAGGACCATAGCTAGTCTAAAAGGCCCTCTCCCCCATGCTCACTGCCCCCAGTACCAGCTGAACCTGGTCTTTACCAACATGCTCCAAGGGGCTTTACCTGGGGTTGTGACCCACTACCTGCTTCTGTGGTTACTTCATGATCAGTGTCATTCTCCAAGACAGAGCAATCCCATCCTCTCGTCTTACTGTGAGTTTGGGTATCTAGGCTGTCATACACCACCATCTCAGAGAAGTAAGCTGAGAGGGGTTTCTTCCTTGAAACCAACGCCTACACAGCTACATCCACGGGGAGTTCACTTTTCCAAATAAAGTACCCTCGAGATGCCACAGATCAAACCCCTAGGAAATGTGATCTGTTCTGGTGTGAGCTTTGGACTTTACTAGTCACATCCCTTATGAGATAGAAAAGCAGCCCTGCACCCACCCTCCTTCTCTCCTCCCTGTATGGGATGCCACGCCCACCACCAATGTTCCTCTGGTTTTGGTGTCGAACTGCTGGCTACAAGCCCTCAGGCTCACGCGGATCTGTGATCTGAACCTAGAGAGCAACAACAGCAGTAGCAATGCCATGCAGATCCAGGGGACAGCCAGATGTGATGCTGCTGGGCAGCTATCAGCAACAAAGCTGACAGGACTGGTCAGCACAAGGCGTTAGGAGCATTCTTGAGTACTGAGTAAGATGAAGCCTGAGGGGTGCAGTGGGGGTTCAGGAGGCAGCTGTGCCAACGGCGCCACTCAGGAGCAGCCCTTGGAGGCGAAAAGACAGGTGGCTCAGAGGCAGCATGGAGAAGCTGAAAGGCTGTCTGTATCCTGCGGGCGATTCAGCCCCAGATGCTTCTTTGCATCCCAAGAGCACAGTTCATTTTCCTCACAGGAAAGTCTCGGCACATCCTCACGAATTAAGTAAATCGGAGGAAATGTCTCCCTTTCAGGTCATTAGTCCATTATATGGACTAATCCGGAAAATACAGGCAGGTGGTGACCTCTTGGTTTGTAGACAGCATGTCACAAATGGGTCTTAACCATCAGTGGGACATGAGACTGTGGGGGTGAAGCCAGCTCCCTCTCTCTGCCTCCAACATCCTCTCTACCTGTCCCACTCATGGCCTTTCCAGTCCACAGAAATGGAAACCTCTCAGTGGTGCCCTTGAGGGAGTTTGTGCTGGTAGGATTTGGGGGCAGTGCAGAGACACAGACCCTGCTCTTTGCTGTCTTCCTGGCCCTGTATGTGGTGACCATCCTGGGAAACCTGACCATGATCGTGGTCATCACCCTGGATGCCCGCCTGCACTCCCCCATGTACTTCTTCCTCAAGAACCTGTCCTTCCTTGACCTCTGCTACTCCTCTGCCATAGCCCCCAAAGCCCTGGCCATCTTCCTCTCCTCCAAGGTCACCAGTTTTGAGGCCTGTGCCACACAGTTTTTCTTCTTCTCCTTGTTGGCTACTATGGAGGCTTTCCTCTTAGCCGTGATGGCCTATGACCACTTCCTGGCCATCTGCAGTCCCCTGAGGTACCCTGTGACCATGTGCCCTATTGCCCGTGCCCTCCTGGTTCTGGGCACCTACTGTGGAGGCTGCCTGAACTCCATCGTGCAGACCAGCCTCACATTCCGGCTGCCCTTCTGCAGCTCCAACCGCATCGACCACTTCTGTGATGGTGTCAACCCCCTGTTCTGGCTTGGCTGTGCCAGTACGGCCCTCAGTAAGATGCTGTACAGGAAAGGACACCATCATTTAGGCAAAGAGAGAGCCTAGAGAATGGGAAAGAATCTTTACCATCTGTACATCTGACAGAGGGTTAGTATCTAGAATATACAAAGAACAACAACAAAAAAAAAATCAGGGGCTGGAGAGATGGCTCAGTGGTTAAGAGCACTAGCTGCTCTTGCAGAGGACCTCAATTTGGTTCCCAGCACCTACATGGTGACTAATATCCATCCATAACTCCAGTTCCAGGGGATCTGACACCCTCTTCTAACCTCTGCAGGCATTTCATGACAAGCGTGCACTTACATAAATGCAGGCAATACACTCATACACATAAAAAATATAAACTAAATATCAAGAAAAGAGCCAACCCAATTTTAAAAAATGGTACAGAGATGTCTCAAAAGATGAAATACAAATGGGTGGGAAGCACTTTTTAAAAATGTTCAGTACCGTCATCTCTCAGGGAAATGCACATCTAAACTGCATTGTGATTTCATCTTGCCCCAGTCGGAATGGCTAAGATTTAATCAAATGATGACAAACGTGAATGTCAAGAAAAGGGCGCGTCTACTCACTGCCGGTGGGAGTAAAACCGTGTACAGCCATTATGAAAACCAGGGTGGAGATTTCTCAAAATGCTAAGAGTAGATTTCCCAAAGACCCAGCTACACTGTTCTTGAGTATACACCAAAGGACTCTGTGTCCTCCTGTACAGATACTTGTTCATCCAGGTTCAGCACTGCTCTGTTCACAATAGCCAGGAAACAGAAACAGCCTGGGTGGCCATCAACAGATGAATGGATAATGCAAGTATTGTACATTTACACAATGAAACATTATCCAACTGTTAAGAAACTATAGCAGGGGGACATTACACCAACTTAGCAAACAAATCCCCAGCACCAGAGATGGGCTACGTCTGTTTGAGCTATTGGCCGATGGGATTCTATCACCTCTCAAACATTACAAGCTATTGCCATTGTATTGTATCGTTCTTGGTTATCCTCTAGAACCTGAAGATAATATCCTATTGATGAAGACACCACATATGTGTGTCTTCACACATATGTAAAATCCCAGTGGATACTGACCTGGAAGTTTCATCCCTCTTAGCTAGCTTTTGTAGTGCTGGAAGGTGCTATTTCAAGTTACTGGAAAAGTGATCATCAGTCTTACTCAGCTGTAAACCCTGAGAATGACAGTAATGACTGGCCAGGAAACAGATGCCCCAGAGCACAACAGAGGCACGAATGTTAAGGGAAAAGCAACCACCCTCTGATTGGATTTAAGGCCCATTCCACAATATGGAACCCATACACGGCACCATTGTCTGGGCTAAGAACATGTGGCTAGATAAGTCATGGGCCCTAAGGGAGAGCCTGCTACTAATGTTCTACTAATGGACATAGTATTAAGCTGACTCGTAATGATTTATTGTTACACTCATAGATTAGTACATCTCTCAACCCTCATCAGAGAAGCTGCTTCTCATAGTAGAAGAAAGTTATAACAGAGACCCCAGAACTGACTGGTCAGTGGGCAGAGAATAAGCGACCAAAGAGGTCATGGCCCCAGATCAGATGTTTATATCACACCCTCCACACCCCCACCAGGGCTCAGGGATCTTTGGGGAAAAGGAGGCAGAAAAATTGTAAGAGCCAGCGACGGTGGGTGACCACAAGGAAACAGCATTTTCCAAACAGCAGAGCAGATGTGCATATGAACTCCTAGCAACTGTGACAGCATGCACAAGACCTGCTCAAGATGAAGCCAGACTAAGTGCCAGCACAGAGGTAGGAAGGCAGCCATAAAGCCCTGCTCCTGGCTGAGGAGCTATCGGGATGTGATAGCTGATGGGAGGAGGTAAGGCAGTGTTCTTTAAGGGTGTGGCGCTTGGTAGGTCAACAATACAGAGCAGATTCCACACCATACAGTATTTGGACTCCTATTGGGAGAACAAAACAGCATGAACTCAGATGTGTGAGGACGTGGAGTAGATTTGGTGGGAAGGGGAGGATGTGAACAAAAGACTTCATATGAAGTTCTCAAAGAATTAATAAAAACATTACATTTTTTCCAAACCAGAAACAATCAGAAGAAGAGTAGAGAGGGAACCAAGGTCCTCTACCCGGGCTCCCGAATGGTACTGGGTAGCGAGCTGGGTTTGGAGGGTCAGCAACACGATCAGACCTGGTGTCACCTGGATTAGCGATCTCTCACCAGCTCCCCCAGGAGGGCTCCGCACAGTGTCCTTCCATGTCCACCCTTCAAGTGGATGGGGCAAGGGAAGGGCTGTGGCCGGGAAGCCACGTGTCCCGTGGGGATGACTGCTCTAATGAGGGACACTGAGTTCAGGCTCCTTCCACGTTGTCTCTGCAATGCTCCTGATGGACCTTCCCAGGATTCCTAACACTGTGGTCTTCTTGCCAATTGTGCTGGATGCTTTAATGTCAACTTGACACACCTGGGTTGAGGGAGCCTCCATTGGGGAATTTCCTTCATTGGACTCGCCTGTGGCCATATCTGAGGTGCATCTTCTTGATGAGTGATGTGGGAGGACCCAGCCCACTGTGGGTGGTGCCACCCCTGGGCAGGTGGGCCTGTGTTGCATAAGAAAGCAGGCTGAGCAGGGGCCAGGGG